AAAATGCGGTGTGGTGCAATGAGTGTGTGCTTGTCATTGGGTCTGCGTGAGTTTGGGCAGGACTTTGATACCGTGTCTCCAGCTCATGATCACTATTGTGCATTGAGTATTGAGTCTAAATGACGTCATTGGTGCAAGATGACAGCAGCCATACCTGGGAAATTTTGGCTTTGTTTTTCTACAATGAAAGGAAAAAGAGACACTTCGTCCAAACCTTTTTTTTTTTTTTTACAATCTATTGTCTAAGTATACTGGGCTGGATGGTATTCAGCTAGATTTTTAAGAGATGCTGCAGATATTATAGTTCCAACTGTCACATTTATTTTTAATCTTTCTTTAAAAAAGGATATAGTGCCATCTGACACGAAGATAGATTTTATAAGGAAGCAGATTAATAAAGGCAGAATGTGTGGTAGGGTACTCTTGGATCTCCAAGTGATTCATTCAATACTGTTAGATAAATTAAGTGTCATGGGTTAATTGAGTATGGTGATAGCCTGGTTGAACTCTTATTTAAATTGGATAGTTCAGATTAGGGTAAAAATGTATGATATTCTTTCTGAGGAAACAATTATTAATAATGGAGTTCCTCAGGGAAATGTCTTAGGCCTCCTTTTGTTCTTATCATACATAAATGACATGCAAGCTGTTTGTGATTATAACTTGTTTTTATATGCTGGTAATTCTGCTTTACAGTTTTCAGACAAGGATGTTGATAGAACACAAGTGATATTAGGTGAGGTGCTCAGTAAGAGACTGTCTCTCTGAAAATAAACTCGTATTGCATTTAGGTAAAACAGAATCTATATTATTAAGATCTAAAAGTCACTCGTTTATGTATTCCATTTTAGACATCTTGGCTGGTAACCTGAAAACAGAGTAGCACACTAAAATGTTATGCAAGATAACTGATGTTTATTACCTGAATACCTTTGACTGTAGTTTAACTGCTTTAAATTTTGAGTAGCATATAGCTTGGCATGTCAGCTTTTTTTTGGCATTTGTACATCAATGTCTATCTAACCACACTGGAATAGTCACTGTCATGCCTTCTGATTTTATATGGCTGTTTTTGAGTAATGGCATGTTTTATGCAGAGCTCTATTGGCCACCTTCACTGTCAGCTGCTAAACTCTGTATTTACTCTATAGTGATCGCTGGCTTCTCTGTGGCTTTTCTCTCAAGTCTTATTGTAGAGAATTCTGGGTGAATGTGATTTCTAAGCAGTGTAGGTGGTTTGATTTCCACTTCCTGGTAATTGAACCAAATGAGACATCCAAACATCTGGATATTGTTTTGTATTCTTTTTCCATTTCAGCTTTTGTTTAACTTGGGGATTTTATTTTCACCATTTGTTCCTTTAACTGTGGGAATTTAATCCAGGAAATGTTTTAATGATTCGCAGGCAAATACTTTTGTAAACAGCATTTTTTAAACATATATTATTTTATTTACTGGCAATTTTAAAATAATTATTTTGATTTGCAATGCCTCACGCAGACACGCACATCACATACAGATGAACTGGAGTTTTCAATGAACAGTGTGATTTTCTGTAAAATGTGCGCATAAAATGGTATAAAGTAATTGCGTGTATGTGTTTGCACATGTGTGTTTGTGGAAGGCTTTAGTATGATTAGTCACATTTCAAAATAGTACTGAGGTCAGGTGAACATCTGCACAGACTGGAACATCACACACACACACACAAACACACACACACACACACACACACACACATACAGTTTCCTACAATGAATCACATGCACAATCATTAGACTGCTGGAACCTGAAAAATAAAATGCACATATGTGTGCAAGGCTAGAAAACGTGAAAAACTTGCACATGCACAGTCATGCAGACTCTGCTTCTAATTAAATGCATGTGCACTGTGTGCAAAACATAGCAGCAAATGGACAACTGAAGTATTTGATCGTCTTAACACCAACGAACACCTAAATTCAAGCATCTGTATCTTAACTTAAAAGAGTAATTCACCCAAAAATAAAATTTGCTGAAAACTTACTGACCCTCAGGTTATCCAAGGTAGATGAGTTTGTTTCTTCATCAGATTTGGAGATATGTAGCATTGCATCATTTGCTCAGCAATGGATTCTCTGCAGTGAACAGCTGATAAAACATCACAATAGTCCACAAGTAATCCACACCACTCCAGTCCATCAGTTAACATCTTGTGAAGACAAAAGCTGAAACAAATCCACCATTAAGACGTTTTCATCTTCAAACCATTGCTTCTGGATAAATTTTGAGTCCATAGTCCATATGTGCATATGTTCCTGTGGCTCAGTGGTAGAGCATTGCATTAGCAGTGCAAAGGTCGTGGGTTAAATTCCCAGGGAACACACATTCTGATAAAAAATGTATAGCCTGAATGCACTGTAAGTCGCTTTGGATAAAAGCGTCTGCTAATTGCATAACTTTAATTTAATAGTCCATAATAACACTTCCTCTAGTGAAAAAGTCCATCTTCTGTTGTCTTGTGAAGCTTTTGTCTTCTCCAGATGTTAACTGATGGACTGGAGTGGTGTAGATTACTTGTCGATTATTGTGATGTTTTTATCAGCTGTTTGGACTCTCATTCTGACGGCACCTATTCACTGCAGAGCATCCACTGCTGAGCAAGTGATGCAATGCTACATTTCTCCAAGTCTGATGAAGAAACAAACTCATCTGCATCTTGAATGGCCTGAGGATCAGAACATTTTCAGCAAATTTTCATTTTTGGGTGAACTCTTCCTTTAAAACTAACGCTAAACATCTTCAACACCCAGCCGCAGTCACTGAAGGAGGCCTGTTAGCCATCTAAAACATATTACACATGAAGCATTGTGAACAATGTGTGCATATCAGCCTGCTGTTTATAAATAACCGCTTAATTCAACTGAATCAATTTCCTCAGTTGAGACGGGTTTTGCTCTAGCGCTCAGCGTGCCTGTAATGTGTTAGCGCACGTTTGTCATTGCGGCGACAGGTTGGCAGGGAGTGAGTGATGGTAAGATGGCAGTCATGGCTCGCTGCTCTATGTGTGATTGCCGTCAGTAATTACACAGCCTCTCGTCTGATTTATTAACTCTAAATGTCCTCTACAGCCCCTCTAATGAATACTCAAACCCTGTCACACTCATTTGTCTTCTATCTTGCCCCCACCCCTCTCTCTTGCTCTCTCTGTCTCCTCCGTTAACGCACCTTGCTGCACTCATTGTCATATTCTTCAGTTCAGGTAAGGCACAGAGGAACAATGGAGGAATTAAAGGGATAGTTCACCTACAAATGAATATTTTGTCATTATGTATCACCCTCATGCCATTCAAAATGGTGTATGACTTTCCTTCTTGACCATTTTTTAGGTGAATATTACGGCCACACATTTTCATTTAATGGAAATGACTGAGAATGGGGGCTGTCAAGCCTCATCAATCACAAAGTTCTGCAAACCACCGGCTCCTTGCACATTTCTTTGTTAACGACACTTACCATTCAAAAGTTTGGAATAATTATGACTTTATAATGTTTTTTTTAAGTCTCTTCTGTTCACCAAGGCTGTATTTATTTGATCAAAAATACAGAGAAAAGTAAAATCATAAAATATTACAATTTAAAACTGCTGTTTTCTATGCGAATCTATGTTCAAATGTATTTTTTTCCTGTGATCAAAGCTGAATTTCCAGCATCATTACTCCAGTCTTTAGTGTCACACGATCTTCAGAAATCATTCTAATATGCTGATTTGCTGCTCAAGAAACATTTCTGATTATTATCAGTGTTGGAAACAGTTGTGCTGCCGATATTTTTGTGGAAACCGTGATGCATTTTATTTTTCAGTATTCTTTGATAAATAAAAAAAAATTAAAAGAACAGCATTTATTTGAAATGGAATAATTATACAACACTAAAAATGTTTTGACTGTCACTTTTGATCAACTTATTGCATTCTTGCTCAATAAAAGTGATAATTTCTTTAAAAAAAAAAAAACAATCTTACTGACCACAAACTAAACTAATTTGATAATGCTTTCAGCTTTCAAAACATTTTACCAAATCTGTTTAGGAGTAGTCTTAAAACATAAGACAGAAAAACCTGTGCAGATCCCATGCGGGCCCAAGCCAACACAAAACAAATTGTGGGGCTTTGTGGGCTAAATCTGAATTTGCACACTATAAACTGTGCTATATAACGTATGTACATTTGTGTGTGCAGGATGCATCTATGATCCTTTCTAACATCAATCCCACAGAAACATGCAACAAATGTCTTCTTTTCTCAGCTGTTAACTTCATTTCATCATTCTCTGTACGCTGTACTTCCCATCGCTTCTATTTTTGTTATCGTTTCGCCTCTCATCTATTAATTCGCACGTCACTTTTCATTCTGACCGCCCTGCACCCCGGTGTCATCTGTTGACTGCATTAATTGCGTGTCTGTAGGTGTTTGTGTAATTTCCTGCGGTCTGGCACTGGCCTCAGATCATCATCTAATAAGGGCTGATGGGAGCATTCTTCCCACACACTACTGCACGCTCATTCAACTCCACTGCTTTTCACTGTTCAGCCAGAGCTAACCTGCACACACGCGAGTGGGAGAAGAGCAGCAGAGGGACGGAGCGAGTGAAGAGAGAGGCTTTTCTGCAGAGGAATTTCAAAACTGCAGCTTCTCATGACAGAGCAGGGGACAATTTCATACCTGATAAGCATTCAGAATAAAAGAGTATATATCAAAAAGTATATGCTACCACTTTAAAGTTACAATAAGTATGCGTGCTAAGAATAATTTAGTTATTATCTTTCTTAATGTAGAAGCTTGCAAATTATTTGTTTTCCTGTTGGGTGAAAAAAAAGGAAATTGTTGATGCTTGTGTTTTAACCCTAAATGGCTGTGAGAAAGGGCTAGAGCTTTACAAAAGCACAAGCTGGATTCTGATTGGCTGTGAATAAGGATGCTGTCACAGCGAGCAGTTGTTGTTTGATGTTTTGTTGTTTACCTGCTGCAGGTCCAGAGTCACAGTGACGTAATGGTAGTCCATCCCGTTCATGATGCTCGGGCTCTGCCACCATCTGTTAGTGCCGTCGATGGCGTACTCGATGGGATGCCACTCTACACACATGAAAAACACACTCGTGAGAGACCACAGCGCATTCATCTCTGCTCAGGAGCTTTATTGGGCAGTGAAGACCAGTCAGAAAAGTGGATGTGATCGAGATGTGAAAACCTGCCTTACTGTGAGCTCTAACCCTGTAAATTGTGATTATACGACCAACCCAGTCTCATAAAAATACGTACCTCTGGGTACTTTTCTGCAACACCGTTTTTACGTACCTTACTGCACGTTTCGCCGCAGTTTCAAAGAGAAATGTCCACTGAGTGGCGCTAAAACACGGGTTCAATACGTGAACCCTGGCACGTTTTTATTACGTTGATATAGGTACGTATTGCTGTGCTTTTATTACGTTGATATAGGTACGTATTGCTGTGCTTTTATTACGTTGATATAGGTACGTATTGCTGTGCTTTTATTACGTTGATATAGGTACGTATTGCTGTGCTTTTATTACGTTGATATAGGTACGTATTGCTGTGTTTTTATTACGTTGCTTCAGGTACGTATCGAAAATGTGCCCCCGGGTACGTTTTTGCCATGAGACCAGGTTGTATACGACATAAAAGTAAGAACATCTAATCTTTTGAAATAAAAAAGTTTACTAAACCTTATTTTAATTAAATCTTAAATAGGTTTGCATATGTTCTCTTTTTTTTTGTGAGTATTATATGTGACCTCGCACCACAAAAGCAGTCTTAAGTCGCTGCGTATATTTGTAGCAATAGACAAAAAATACATTGTATGGGTCAAAATTATCGATTTTTCTTTTATGCCAAAAATCATTAGGATATTAAGTAAAGATCATGATCCATGAAGATATTTTGTAAATTTACTACCGTAAATATATCAAAACTTAATTTTTGATTAGTAATATGCATTGCTAAGAACTTCATTTGAACAACTTTAAAGATGATTTTCTCAATATTTAGATTTTTTTTGCACCCTCAGATTCCAGATTTTCAAATAGTTGTATCTCAGTCAAATATTGTCCTATCCTAACAAACCATACATCAATACTTATTTATTCAGCTTTCAGATGATGTATAAATCTCAATTTCGAAAAAAAGACACTTAAGACTGGTTTTGTGGACCAGGGTCACATATTTGATCCATCAGGCTTTTATGAACAGCTCAATTTTATTCAGACTCAAACTGAGCAAAGATATGCAGTTTGCCGCAGATGCTGATATTTACTGTATATGATAAAATTCTTGATACTTGTAATGTAAATCTATGAGATCTTTATAACAGTATACAGCAGATACTGACATAAATGGATATAAATATCAGTCGTCACTCTATATCTCAAATAATATGTCTCAGTAAGATGATATTTAAATAATCAAAACATATTACGGAATGAATACAATGATGTTTCTCAAAAAAACAACAAAAAAAACACTCAAAAGCCTGAAGATCATATTTGAGACTCATAGATTTGTCTAATATTTAATTAATAATTAAATATTACTGTAAATTATAATAAATAGCTACATATTTAATAATATCTTTCTTGGATAATCAAGTAAAGCGATGCTGCTCATCTTGAAATATACTAACAATATCAAAGTTATTCTTTAACTGATTTAATCAGTCCTATTAACTGACTGAAATAAAACCAAAACCTGCTCAAGAGCTCATACATTTGAATTTGTATTTCATTTTGTTGGAATAAGTGGTGTTTTCGGACTGCTGAGGAAGATCTGTATCTCTTTTATCTGAAGAGATCGAGTGAGATCTGATTCATCGTGGCACTAGGCCTTTAGAGGAGCTCCAACACCTCATATTAAACCACGACAGGACACGGCACTACTAATAACGTGTCTCCGCTGGCTTTTACCTCAGTGGGCTGAATAAAATCACCTGCTGAAGTGTCTTTTGAAATAAAGCGATCTGCTCTAATGAGGGATGAGTTTTATAAGCGCTGAAATACTGGCGTTTATCTCGGCGCAGAGCCTGTGGAAAGCCAGCTATATGAGACAAACCCCAATCTTTCTTTAGAGACAGATTCTTAATCAGGCAACGATGATTAAAGTTGTCCACTTAATCATTTATTTGACTGCATATATTCTTTTCTAATTTATGAGCGAGATCTAGGTTTCATTTAAAAGAACTCCCCCGCTGGTTAAGTCACATCTCTCTCTCTCTTTCTCTAATTTCCTCTAATTGCATGTTATATTAATCACTCTCTGGCTGGGAGTGTGTGGGTGACTCTGGGGCGCAGCGGCGTGTGTTTGAAGCAAGCGCAGAACTCGTTACTGACGGAGGTGTGTGGATGACAGCACCGGCGACTCACTCCACGCATGTTTTATTAAGAGCTTGTACACATCAAAACTCCTAAAAGAACCGGTCTGGCTCATGTTTCACCCTCAAACCAAATCCAAGACAATGCAGCACATCTACAGGTGCATCTCAATAAATTAGAATGTCGTGGAAAAGTTCATTTATTTCAGTAATTCAACTCAAATTGTGAAACTCGTGTATTAAATAAATTCAATGCACACAGACTGAAGTAGTTTAAGTCTTTGGTTCTTTTAATTGTGATGGTTTTGACTTTCATTTAACAAAAACCCACCAATTCACTATCTCAACAAATTAGAATACTTCATAAGACCAATAAAAAAAACATTTTTAGTGAATTGTTGGCCTTCTGGAAAGTATGTTCATTTACTGTACATGTACTCAATACTTGGTAGGGGCTCCTTTTGCTTTAATTACTGCCTCAATTCAGCGTGGCATGGAGGTGATCAGTTTGTGGCACTACTGAGGTGGTATGGAAGCCCAGGTTTCTTTGACAGCGGCCTTCAGCTCATCTGCATTCACAATTTGAGTTGAATTACTGAAATAAATGAACTTTTCCACGACATTCTAATTTATTGACATGCACCTGTACAGCCCATTAAAGATGTAGTTGACCCAAAAATGACAATTCAGTCGTTACCTACTCACATTATGGCACTGTAATGTTGTACCCTTGAGTTTGTTTGTAATTCTAATTCATCTTAATGACGATGATTCTCATTAGATTCTCATTAATGTAATACAGGCAGGAACACCATCCTCTGGACACAATGACGTTTTTAATCAAATTTGCATAAAGAACAAATACCGCAATGATGTATACAATTCATTACTTTTTCACATTGTGATGATGCACATGCACATGCTTTCTTTTGATTTTGGGGTGAACTATGACTAAATGCCATGTGTGAGAATATTTACCACTCCTCTAGATTATAATAACTAAAGACACTCATAAAATCAGCTTTTTCTGATACAGAATACTGCTTTAAAATACTGATGCAATGACTCATATTAGGTTCAGTTCTTATCAGTTCTCATATTTAGAAGGTTTCTCAAACAGCGAAGATTTGATGGCCACGCAGGATGTCAAATAACTGACAGAATTACTACAGACAAACATCAGCGACAGGATGTGATGTCATGCTCTAGGGCTTCTGTATTTAATACATAATGAATCACAAATAATAAGAAATGTGAAATATTAAAAACATACCATCTGCTCCACTTTCCAGCAACACAGCAAATACGCAGCTCTGAAGTTTGTATTCATTGTTTTGAGCCAAGTGGTCGATAATAGTGGCTTTATAATAGTTAACTTCATTCACGCCTCCCTGAAAATGTTTGCTTGTTTAATAAAATTGCTATAATGTGTGATGGTGTGGATGCCGGATTGTATGTGCGATGATAATGATGGCAGTAATGAGCGCAGTGATTGTTTGTTATACATATATTACCAAATGTATATTGAACATAAGAGTTCTTTGAAAAATTTCCCCTTTCAGCAATCTTTAAAAAAGCAATTAAACAAGCACAGTAATAAGGTAAAGCTATTATATTAGGGGACAAAAGGTTCCCGGTGTTACCATGCCTACTTATTAGAAATGAATTTAAGCTTACATTTAAAATATAAATATGAACCGTTTCTAGCTGTGGTTTTGGTGAAACAGAAAGATGTTAAAGGTTCTTTATGGAACCATTTAGACAAAAAGGTTCTTCTATGGCATCGTGAAGCACCTTTATTTTTAAGAGTGTATTTTGGTAACAACTGAACTTGCAAACATGTCTGTAGTTGCTTTTGGGAAACACACCCCAGAGCGATTCAGTCTAGTTTGTGAATGAATTGCTCAGACCAGAGTCAGATGATTCTAGTATATTTTTGTTAATGAATCAAATATTGCTATTAAAAAAACAACACGGGGAAGCGGGGAATCCAGTGTACATGTGCGTTACATGCGTGACTGTGCCAGTGTTACTGTGATTTTGGAATGCAGTGATTTATGAGCAGAAACTGTCTTTGATTAGGGCATCTCAAATGGATTATGCACAGCCTGAGAGCCAGTGTGTGAGTGTGTGTGTCTGTGTGTGTGTCCTGTACCATTAGCATAATCACTCTTCAGGTTGCAGGTCCGACACTGAGGGTTTTTCACGGGCTGTCCTGGTACATGCTCCACTAGTTTGCAGTACATTTCTGGTCCCGTTTCTCCACATGTGGCATTGGTCTTGATCTCTGCCATGGAGGCCAGGTTCAGCACAGCTGGGAAGAGACCTGTGCACACAGCACACACACAACGTTAGCTGTTACCAAGACAGATTATCACTTCTACAGATGGTTCAACGCCAACAGCAAGTTTTCACATAGCTTTCCAATAAATCCATCTCCCCAGATGTACACTATGCAATCTGCCATTTTTGTTTACGGTGATAAAAAAAAAAGTCTTTAATCAGAATGTACAGATATATTTGAGCATCAATGGACAAGGACGCATTTTGAATGGTCAGTGTTTAATTGGCTTCCAGCAGCACTTCTTGCAGCTTAGAGCAACTAATTGATTTAAAAGGGTGTAATCTAGTTTTGTTTGTTTGCAGAATGGTTTGTGTGCATCCTCTCCCTGTCACCAGTCCTTCTTCCAGGAGCTCATCATTTACAAGAGAAGCATTGTCCTTATATTAAAGTTACACTGGAAACATTTCTCATTATTATTATTTTTTTTATTTTGTTAAAAGTGAATAAGAAAAAAAATGATGTTCCTGTTTCACACTGATTTCGCAACTTACTGATTACAGAGAAAACTTCAGCTCAGTATCCTACTGACAGCCGAACTCTGAGTTAAATCAGTTTTTGCCGAAATGAACCATCGGAAAGTCTTATTAGAACAAACTTGTGGATGTTTTGAAACAAAATGATCATATCAGTAACAAGAGACTTTAAAGCTGCATGAAATCAAATGCAATGTCTGTTTCATCAAACACATCTTTCATCAAAATAGCGCAGCAACAGTTGTATTATGAAAGCTGATCCTGCTTTGTGAGAGCTGTAATTAAAACTCTCTTAGAATCCACTTTCCCAGCATTTCCAGCATTCAGATATAGATAACATGGAGCTCACATTCAAATCCTCTTGAGTAAGAATTTGGGTTTTAGTAGTTTATTGTACATAACAGCATGACTCAGAAATGTAAATATATGGTAGAAATTGGGGCTGCCCAATAAATTATAAAAGTGCCGATTACAGCATTATCTTTATATTTACTCCTCTTGCATCAAAGGTTACAATTTACAATACATTTTTGCAGCGTTAAGCATCACCAGTGTTAAGCACATGAACACAACAGTCAATCAGATGCGTTTCATTGAATCACTATGAGAAGAAATCTACTCAAAACTAATTTTTTTTTCATTGTGATCTGACTGATAACTTTCTCGAATCCTCTCACTGTAACCAACAAAGTGTAAATGTAATGTAAATAAGATTCACAGTGCAGTGTAGACAGCTTCAGAAGCTGAGTTTACATTACCCTTCAAATTGCGCAAATTGAAATTGAAAATTGAAAATGGAAACATTTCAATTTCGGTAAACTAACATATATCGCAAAAAAGATTTTACGCTCGCATGAGGTGGTTTTTCAGGCAATTCAAAAAAGGAATATAATCGCAAAACTGCAATGGAAAAAGTTTTTTGGCATTTACAGGTCATCGGTTACCGCGAGAGGAAGAAAATTACGTTTTAGTCACATAACATCGGTTAATGGAAACTATGCCATTTCGCAATAGTTTTTTATTGACGTTTATAAAATATCGCAAAAGTTTTACGCAAACCTGTAATGGAAACAAGAGTTTTTTGCAAGAGTGCATTTAATAAAAGCATTTAATAAAACTACCACCACAAATCCAACTTTACACATTTTGTGTGCTTGACGTTACTTGCATTAGTTGGTTTGCAATATTAGTCACAACATGTTCATATGATACAAAATGTGGCTTATATTCAGGAAAATATAGTATCTAATCTATTACAAGTTTTATTGATCATGCTGCTTAAAGAAGCAACAGTCACAAGCACACTGCAAAATGTTGTTACTGACAGCTTTATTAAAAATTCAGCAGTGAATCTGCTTAATTAAAGTTCCTTTTGTGAGTCACTGACAAAATTGTGATGACTGACATTAATCATCATTGATCACTGAAATCACAATGTCAAGGGAAATTATCGAAATTATGATTTCTGGCATAATCGTGCAGCTTTAACAGGACAAATATAGTATGCTATTTCACATTTTACAGCATTAAAAAAAAAAAAAACAGCAGTTGGTATTTAGTGTACACTGTGCAGTAAGCGGTACATTAGTATTTGAACTACCTGAAATAGAATAGAAATATGAGGGTTTTATACAAAGACATGAGTGTTTGGAGTGCATGGTTTAAATCTGTATGTCAGCAATTTTAAACTGGGTTTTCTGTTGTGTGAAGTGTATTTTTGCAACAGCAACAAAAAAGAGTGTGCATAGTTGGTCAGAATCAAAGCGCGCTTGATCTCATGAAATCAGTCTCAGCTGTTCAGACAGATGTTCCTTATGAGTTCTCAGAGACATGCGAGCTGGACAAAAGCAAGGTTCTCCTCTCTGTCACAATCACTCAAACTCTCCCTGTGCTCTTTACAGTGAATTATCTGAATGCTAGTGCTAGTTCTGCTGTTTAGTTGCAGGGATAAAGTCTTTCACACCCTCCTTCATGCAAACACATCACAGCTTAGCAGCTGCCTCTGGAATGTCCACAATCAAATGGATATTATGCTCAATATGAGACACATTTTTAAAGCACAACAAGGACATTTTCCCAGGAAACATTAACAACTTCCAGCTTGGATGTTTTTGAAACTGGAGCTTTGCAACCATCATCTATTTTAATGTGTGTGTGTGTGTGTGTGTGTGTGTATACAGGTGCATCTAAAAAAATGTGAATATCGTGGAAAGTTTTTTTTTCTTTGTAACTTATTTCAAAAAGTTAATGGGTGCCGTGACATCTGCTGGTGTTGCTCCTTTGTGTTTTATCAAGTCCAAAGTCAATGCAGCCGTCTACCACGAGATTTTGGAGCACTTTATGTTTTTTTTTTACTTTTGATGATTAGAGCTTACAGCTCATGAAAGTCAAAAATCCAGTATCTCAAAATATTAGAATATTTACATTTGAGTTTCATTAAATGACCATCCCTACAGTATAAATTCCGGATATCTCTTGTTCTTTGAAACCACAATAATGGGAAAGAATGCTGACTTGGCAATGGTCCAGAAGACAATCATTGACACCCTCCACAAAGAGGGTAAAATCACAGAAGGTCATTACTGAAAGGGCTGGCTGTTCACAGAGCGCTGTTTCCTGTGCTAAAGGAGCCCCGACCAAGTATTGAGTGCATAAATGAGCATACTTTAAAGAACTTGAACTTTTCTGTTTTGCAAATCCTTTTTTTGACTGATCTTAGGAAATATTCTGTTTTGAGATACTGGATTTTTGACCTTCATGAGCTGTAAGCTCTAATCATCAAACAAAAAAAATAACTTTTGAAATGTTTTACTTTACATGAAATTAATCTAGAATATTTGAAAGTTTCACTTTTTGAAATGTTACAAAAAAATGTTTTGCTGACATCCATATTTAAAACACACATTTCAGACACGCATGTGTTCCAAATGTCGTCATTTGCAATATCATTACATTACATTCTTTACATATTTGCCACACACTGAATCTTAGTGTCGAAGCAATTATTGCAAAAAAAGACCAGTTTTGGACATGCCACTCAAAAAAGCTAGAAAAAATAGCAACTTCTCAAAAATGCATTTAATGGTTTTGCAATGTTTTTTTCTTCACAATATACATATGTTGATCATAACAAAGATCTTCTTCATAACTGGCTCAAGAAAATACAGAGCGCAAGACATGACAGCAGAAAAAAACTGAAAGAAATATCGAATGTTGAGTAAAAATAAAAACTATACATAGGAATTGCGTCACTAGTGATTAGGCTCATATCGGGTGAGAGGAGCGCGAGCCGAGCGCCTCACGAGCTCCCGATCATCTTGAAAAAACGATGTTGTCTGCTTAAAGTTGAGCCATGTTTAAGATCTCCCAAATCATCACACATACTTCTTGCTGCTAGGCAACCATATAGCATGTGAATACACTGACACACACTCACACAATGACACGCAGCAAGATTGAAATCATCTGCCTTAAATGTGAGTCTCATTCAGATTCATTATATATGTGTGTTTAGTTGTATGGTAAGTGCACTTCAAGCTCCATTGAAAATAAAACTATACAGGATTGAAATGACAAGCATTTTGGATGATTTCATTGTTTAATGGGGTCATCGGATGCGACCTGCACTTTTACAAGTTGTTTGAACTGAAATGTGTGTTAGCAGTGTGTGTACACAACCACCATATAATGATAAAGATCCACCCAGTGTTTTTTTTTAATCTTGTTAAATCATTTTCCCTTTCTCATATCAAGCCATTCTCAAATGCTTGTCTGTGTGATGTCACACAGACCCAGGCCCCTTCCACGATTGTTGATTGACACCTTAGACCCGCCCTGAGTGAGCTGTCATCAGTCCTCTATTGTTTCACCGCCAGAGCAGATGTAGACAAGAATGGCTCCTAAGCGATTGAGATGTTCTGTTTTTGGATGTAATAATGAACATAGCAGTCGTCAAATGCGCTCCCGATCTTCGCGCGAATCATTCGTGATCCAGCCTCACCTACAGAAGAAGTGAGTATCAGGTTATTTTATGAATCTTTGCAAATCGCCTTCCCTAATAACGTGCTAGTTAGCAAGTTTCGGGGCTAAATGCGGCTAAATGTGGCTAAAGTAAACAGTCTCATGAGAACGGCTCGTCACCCCACGGCGGGGCGGGGGTGGGGAACAGAGGGGCGGGGTGAGCAGAGCTCATTAGCATTTAAAGGAGCATGCAATAAAACGAGTTGCTGAAAACAGAGCTGTTTTTGACAAGGAAAAAAAGGTGTTGTTTAACACTACCATTGAGAAATTTTAACCAAAGTATGTTATAGACTTTTCATTAAGACCCTAAAGAATCATATCAACTTGTGGAAAATGGGCATCCGATGACCCCTTTAAGCATTTACTTCAGCTTGGAAATGGACAATTGGCCTTTTTCTGTGGCGAACTGTAATCTTTATACATAACCTTACAGCAATATCACAAAAGAGTCATCGCTGTACAACCGCAGTTTTGATTCAGATGTAAGCA